TTTTTCAGAAACTGAAAATCACACAGAAGAGATTGCCCATTTTTCTCCCCCAGAGCAGCTGGTATATTCAAACTGCCTGCCTTTGGGTTGACAATGCAACTTCCTACCTACCAGGCTGCCAGAGCTGTCAACTTTTTCATGTTATGCTTATAAAGAGAGGCCTTTAGCTATGCAAAAAGTTCTTTTAAAAATTCACCCCTACTTTCTTTTCCTCAATTTAGGGTCTCTTTTTTTTTTATTCAAATGAAATTTTTATTTTATACTAGTTTACTTACAAAATTCATATACATTGTTTTTCACACCAAATCTTTCCCATTTCCTTTACCCACCCCTCCCTCCACCCATCGGATTGTGCACCCTTATGATTAACACCCACCCCTACCCATCCTCACCCCTCTGTTCCCACTTTCCCCCTCTTTGATCCTCATACATGTTCTATAATAATGATCTTTTATAGTATTTGTCTTTATGGGACTGATTTCATTCACTTAGCATAATGCTCTCCAGTCCCTCCCAAGTTAGGTAGTAATTTACAAAATCATTGCTCCTGCACACTGCGTAGTATTCCATCATATGAATATACCATAATTTCTCAATTCATTCAGTTGTGGTTAGACAACTGGGCTGTTTCCACGTTCTTATGATAATGAACATTGGTGTACAGTTCTCCGTTTTTGCCTCAGTTCTCATTCTCTTGAGATATATGCCAACCTTGGGATAGCTGCGTCATATCTATCTTCAGATTTTTGAGGAAATGCCATATTGTCTTCCAGTGTGGTTGTATTAGAGTTCCCATCTCTCCACATCCTCTCCATCATTTATTACTTGTTATCCTGTTAAACATTTCCATGGCTACTGGAAAGAGATGGCATCTCTGTTTTGATTTGCATCTCTCTTATTGCCAGTTATTTTTGTGCATTTCTTCATGTGTCTGTTTGCCAACCATATATCTTCCTCTGTGAAAATTCTTTCCATGTCTTTTGCCCATTTTGTAATTGTGTTATCTGTCTTTTTCTTGTGGAAGCCCTGTAGGATTTTGTAAACTTTTGACATGAAACCCTTGTCTGAAATGGTATTGCCAAATGTTTTTTTCCCAGTCAGTAGGTTTTCTTTTCATTCTGTTGGAAAACAGTTTTGATGTGCACAGGGATTTAACCTTTAGAAGGTCCAAATCATCAATTTTATCCTCTCCAGATTGAGCATTTCTGGCTATATTTGGCAGTCTCCTTATACTATAGACCAGGCTTTCTAAGCCTGGTCCCAGTTTATCTTTTATGAACTTTATGGTTTTAGGCTTTACTCCCAGGTCTCTGATCCACTTTGAATTGATTTTTGTGTGTGGTGTGAGATGTGGTTCCTATTTTGGTTTTCTGCAGGTAGCAGTCCAGTTTTACCAGGACCAGTTGTTGAAGAGGTTATCAATATCTATTTGATAAGTTTTATTTCCTTTTCAAATATTAGTTGATCATAAATAGATGGGTCTATTTCTGGGTTCTCAACTTTGTTCCATTGGTCAATGTGTCTATCATTGTACCAGTACCATGCTGTTTGGGTCACTACCACTGTGTAGTAGATTTTGAGGTAAGGGAATACTCTGTCTCCCCCTTCATTTTTTTATTTTTCAGACGTGGTTTGCTTTCTGGGGGTCTCTTTCTTCTCCAAATAAACTTGATAATTTCCCTTTCATTCTTGAAAAATGAATTTGGCATCTGTATTGATGTTACATTGAACACATAGCTTGATATTGGTAGGACTGTAATTTTCACAATATTGAGTCTTCCTATCCTGATATTGAGTATTTCTATTCCTAATGAGCAGGGCACATTTTTCCATTTCTTTAGGTCTTTTATTATGTCTCACAAAAATTTCTGTAGTTTTCTTTGTACAGGTCTTCCGTATCTCTAGTTAGGTTCACTCCCAAGTATCTACTTGTGTTTGGCTATTGAAAATGGTATTGCCTTCTTGGTTTCCTTCTCTAAGTTCTCTTTGTTACTGTAGAAGAATGCCACTGATTTTTAGATATTAATCTTATATTCTCCCATTCTACTAAGCTGGGATACTAGTTCTAACAGGTTTTTGTTCTGTTGTTGAGTCCTTGGAGTTTTCTATGTATGTTAACATATCATCTGCATATAGCAATAAGTTTAAACCATCTCTTTACTGATCCAGATGCCTTTTATTTCCTTCTCTTGTCATAATGCCATAGCAGACACTTCTTTTTTTTTCCTGTGTCTTTTGATTAATAACTTCTTTATTCTGTAAAAGCAAATGAAAGTCATAGTCATATAAACACTGACATTACAAAGTACAAGGAAGGGCGAGGAAAGGAGGAAACAAAAACCTCTGTATGTCCTGCTAATACTGTCTCACCAAAAAGACCATAATGCTTTGTTCCATATTCAATCACTTATATAATAAACCACA